GACTTTCAGTGTGGGACCCTTGTGCGTAACCCCCAACCAGTTCAGATGAGATGCCAAGTGCAGTCTACTGTGGGGATTCCTCAGGGACCTCGTGGCTTTGCTCCCGTTGCTGGTCTCTTGGTTTGCCCCCATGTGAGCTGCTCAGATGGGCCGCTGTCCCTGAGCTGTATCTTCAGGGCTGGGGCCATCATGTGATACTAATTCTTTACGGGAGTAGAAAGCTCCTGTGGAGTGGCTGGTGGTTTTGAACCACTGACCTTGTGGTCAGCAGCCCAACACATAGCCATCACGCCAGCCGAGGTTGGAGGGGCACACATGGGACAGCCGCTAGCCAGGGCTGAGAGGGAGTCATGGGGCGAGGAGGGAGGGGCTGGGCTGGTCTTGGGGTCCACGAGACACTCCTGTAAGTCCCAGAAAGAGAGGTCATTAGGGGTGTGTGTACAGTGACATTACCACCCCGAAGAAAGGCCGGGGGGCTCCCACAGGACAGGGAGGGGCGAGAACCGTGAGATGAGGATTGGGGTCTTCTTTACATTGAGTTGCGATCCATGCTGAAGGCCCCTGTCCTTAATCTTCATCAGCAAGTGCTTCGAGTCCTCCTCTCTTTCCAAAAGCGAGGTTTATGAAACCCCTCCTAGATGCAGGGCCCCTTCCTGGCCCCTCATAGGCATTTAATAAGCTAGTTATCATCGTCTCTGAGCAACGGACACTCCCTAGAACTGCACGATTGACCGAAGGGAGCCAGCATCAGGGAGAAACCTCCTCTGGGCAAGGTCCCGCCTGCCTGTCCCTCAAGAATGCCAGGTCCACAAGCTGAGACAATGGTCTCTCTCTCCCTCTCTCCCCCCACCTCCCAATCCTCCAAGGCAGCCCAAGCTGAGCCCACACCAGGCACACGCTGGCTCCTCTGTCCCTGTGAGGTGGGGGTGGACTTCTCCTGGTAGCTCAGCCTCAGAGCCGGAGCTGAGCAGGTCTAAGCAGGTCTGGCAGTGGGAGAGGTAGGTGTGTGTGTGTGTGTGTGTGTGTGTGTGTCTAAGCAGGTCTGGCAGTGGGAGCAGTGTGTGTGTGTGTGTGTGTGTGTGTAGGTCTAAGCAGGTCTGGCAGTGGGAGCGGTGTGTGTG